GGGGGGGAGGGTGGAAGGGTGAATGAGGCTTAGGAAGTCCTGGCGCGGAGAGCTGCGCTGTAGACTTACCCCAAGAGGCCTGAGGATAGTAGTAATAAGTACTTTTTAACTGATACAATAAACTGAAAAGCATCACCAGAGAAGTAAGAGTGGGCGGTGGTGGAAGGGTGAATGAGGCTTAGGAAGTCCTGGCGCGGAGAGCTGCGCTATAGACTTACCCCAAGAGGCCTGAGGATAGTAGTAATAAGTACTTTTTAACTGATACAATAAACTGAAAAGCATCACCAGAGAAGTAAGAAGGAATTCAAAGGTGTAGAGTGGTAAAAGTCAAAAGAAAATACAATTTTAGGTAGTAGGAAATAGGCAGTGGTGGCATCTGCTCCTGTGGTTTGCTGAGAGAGGATTCTATCATACTTCTGCCTTGATGTAATATCTTTGTGCTCTAGAGAGTATGCCACAGGCTCACACAGACCTGAAAGGAATTTTTTGTCTTGGTTTTTTTTTTTTTTTTTTGAGACAGAGCCTGTCTCTATAGTTCAAGCTGGCCTAGAATGCTCTATGTAACTGAGTTTGGTCTTGAATTTGAGACAGTCCTCCTAATTCAACCTCTCAAATGCTAGAATTATAGGTATGAGCTACTATGCCCAGCTGGTCTGAAAGTTTTTATAGCCAACAGCATTTTGTAAGCTTTAATACCTTTGAGGAAAGAAGTTCGTGAGACTGAAAATCAATGATAACATTATTCCTAATTCTGTCCTAGGATATTCTCTGGCAAACATAGAATCTCTGGAGTGTCTACTTTCTCTGGTACAGATTTAGCACTCCTGGTCAATAAAATCTGAAATACTGTTAGCAGCACTCAAAAAGTTTCACATCTTCAGCCAAAATTCTGGTTAGATGAAGGAGGTGCTCTCCAGGCCCCACCCCTTACTGAGGAGCTATTATTGGCTGTTGATAGCTGCTGGGGGAGAATCTTTCTGAATGTGTGACCACTGGTAGATTTCCTGTGAGCCAGTAGATAGTCCCACACCCCATGCACATATGTACAGTACTCATTGGGCTTAGTGGGTTATAAAGAAAATAGGGACATAAAGTTAGGAGGAGGCCTTGTTGGGGGAGATTTGGGGAGAATTGGAGGGGAAATGGGGAGTGGGTATGGTCCTATTGCACACATGTATGAAATGCTCAAGAATAATGAATTAATACTTTGACATTTTTCAGATTTTGAAGTTTTTGTAGGTTTTATTTTTTTGTTTCTTGCTTTGGGTTATGGTTTGTTGTTGTTGTTGTTTGGAAACAATATCTCACTCTGTAGCCCAGGCTGGCCTCAAACTCATAATGATCTTCCTGCCTCAGATGTCTGAGTGCTGGGATTATAGGCATGAGCTACCACACCTGGCTTTGAAGCGTATTTTTATTTTGAATTTTCAGATTAAGGATTCTGAACTAGAAATGCTTATGCAGCTGTTCCATCCTGTAAAAATTCCAAAATTGGATAAAATCTGGCATCATAACATTTCATAACATTTCCTCAAGTTGTAATAATACAGAGTGCCAGATATGGGCCAGGCATTGTTTATGTGCTTCATCTATGTAACACAGCAAAAGCTGGATCTCGTTAATGAAAGAATTAAAAACCAGAAGGAAGCTCAAAGACAGTTTTATTAAAGTTTGAAAGAAAAACAGCAGGGCAGGCTAGCTGAATATCTTGGCAGCTGTTGGGAGAAAGGATGTGAAGAAGAGAAAAGGCCATGCCTTTGGGTTACAGTTTGAAAGATGGTATGTGTCAGCAATGGAGGAGGCAGCGCCTCAGAGAAAGAGTAAGAAAGCCAGTGTGTCAGAGAGAGTGTAAGCAACTCAGAAAAGGAGGCAGGCCACATGACAGAGGCTCAATAAGTGGTTGTGTAGAGCAGGGGCTTCTGGGAAGGATAAGCACATTATCTCAGTAAGGGAATATTATTCCTCTCATCTCCTTAATGTGTTTTCAGGTAAGCCAGCTTCCCTAGAGCATGGACCCCTGGCCAGATGATTGATAGGCCCAGCTGGAGTAACTCTTAAGGGAGGAGACAAGAATATGTAGTGTTCTAATCTTTAGAGCAGATCAGAATGTCAAGTGCCCAAGAAGTGGCAAAGCTGGTGACTGCCTTTCTAGTGTTACCAGTACCCAAAGCCATGAGTGAAGGGTTCGGCCTCAGTGACTTCCAAGGCTACTGTAAAAGTTTTTGAATAGCTTAATTTTTGATAGCTACAATGTTTTCTTTCTGTTTTTTTTTTTTTTTTTTTTTTACAATGTGTTCTTTAAGACAGATAATTTTATCACATAAGAATAAACTTTGGATAGGCGCTAAGTCTTCCTTTGAAAGGAAAGAAATGTTCTTCAGAAATAAAGCTTGTGATAGAAAAATGAATGTTCTTTTGTATGGCAGTGTAAGGAAACCCTACAACAAAGCCTGCTCTTCGATCACATGAATTCAGAAATGAAACTGGCTTTTTGACCCTTAACAGCAAATAGTTTTCTAGTAACCCATTAACCTCTCAAATATATAGCTGTATATTTACTAATCAACCATTTTGAATTTCTACTGTTGTGTTTTACTGTATTATCTAGTCTGCATTTAGGACTAGGGTGTAGCTCAGTGGTAAAGTGCAAGCTAACTAGTGGCAAGACTAAGTTTAACTGCCAGCAACAAAAAGACAGAAAGAAAAAGAGCTCAACCCAAGTTTATAGTAGCCTGTGCAGGCTATGCACTGTACAGCTTTAAAGGATCTATTCACCTAGAGTTGCAGAGTCTGGGAACCATAGAGAACCTGCTCAGGAACTTTAATAAATCTCAAAATAATGGAAGATTATTATAAATACACTTAGAAGACTACCCTTGGTGGGCAGCGTTGGCAGGCAGATCTCTGTGAGATTGAAGCCAGCCTGTCTATGTAGTGAGTTCTAGTCCAGCTGGGGCTACAGGGAGACCCTGTCTCAAAAAACAAACCAAAGCAAAAAAATTTAGATTATCCTTAATGACTTCCATTGATAAAAATGCTCTCACGAGGTTTTTCCTGGAAACAAATTCAGATACTAAACTGTGTCTCACTGTTTTTACAGGCGAGGAATTGCCTTGGCCTCTTTAGGAGGCCCAATTTATGCAATTGGAGGGTTAGATGACAATACTTGCTTCAATGATGTGGAGAGATATGACATCGAATCTGATCAATGGAGTACTGTGGCACCAATGAATACTCCCCGTGGAGGAGTTGGCTCTGTGGCTTTAGTAGTAAGTTATACAGCACGCCATTGAAATGCATTGCATCACATCCATAACCAAATAAGGTCTGATACATTCAAATCACCAGCATGTGGACAGTGCTCATATGTCGTATTGTTCACAAAATATTGTATTCTTATACATTCTGGTCTCCCAATAGGATCATAGATGAGTCAATTTAAAATCTAATACACATTTTGTTTGTTTTTCCCATTTAGAACCATGTCTATGCAGTGGGTGGCAATGATGGAGTGGCTTCCTTATCCAGTGTGGAGAGGTACGATCCACATCTGGATAAGTGGATAGAAGTTAAAGAAATGGGTCAACGAAGAGCAGGCAATGGAGTTAGTGAACTTCACGGTTGTTTATATGTTGTTGGTGAGTAATGATATTTCTCTAACATATTGAGGCATACACATCATAAAATAATAGTAATAAAAATATTATTACATTTAAAAGGGGAAAGAGGCCTAAAGATGATTTTATGTATGACATACACAAAAATTCAATAAAAAATTTAAAAATATATTACATTTAACCTTTAGTAACCTTTTAAATTCTTAAAAGTTGATATTAATGCTTCTTAATTTAAATATTCATCTTTCATAATTAAAATTCCTACCTCTGTATTTTCCAGGAATAACAGATTATATCTAAAGTAGGCGATTGCATTTAATTGAAATATATATTTGTAAATATAAAGACAAATTAAATATGCTTTGTTAAAGGATCTAAAGACTTGTATTTTTAACTTCATTTCAAAGCATATTGCATTGAATACTTAAAGAAACCTAGTGGATTTTCATATGAAGGCTATGTCCGTATTGCTTACTGACTTACGGAAGTGCTGAATTGGAAGGACCACTAGAGCACTGCTTTCTCGAGTTAATTTGCATGTAAACAGTCTGGACTAGGAATGCTGAAAAGAAAGGTCTGGGTTCTGTATGTTAACAGCTCCTAAGTGATAATGATGGTTGCAGGTGCTACTTCTAGAAGCAAGAGCTTCAAAGAGTTATGAGATGGGAGTAGTAGTGCCTGTCTTCTGGAATTAGGTTAGGAACTGGAGATGTTTGTTATGCATGGGAAACTGTAGTTACCCAACACATGAGTCACTGTGTTGTGATTAGCAATCCATTACAGAGGAGGAAATGGTGCTCAGAGAGGTTGTTAAGAGTGTGCCATCCTAAGTGGGACATACTGAAGCACATTGAGTGGGTTACATGGTTTATAGAAAGTATTGTTAGTGTTTCATATTAGTGTTTAAATATCCACATGTAGAAGCAATGCTGAATCTTCCTGTGCTGTTGAATGCTGAAGAAGAGAACTAACACAGCCCACCTTTCTCTCACCTCATTTCCTAAGCAGCTCTGTGAGGTAATCTGTTGCAGAGACAATGAATAAAAACCCATGGTCACATGCCTGAATAAATGATAAAGGCAGAATTTGAACTTGAGTCTGTGAGAATCAAAGTGCCATTGCCACCTTTCAACCTCACACTTAACCGTAGATAGGTTACCACAGGGCACATGACAACAGGAGTGTCACTTTTGCAGCAGCTTTTTTTTATATATTTTATTTATCATTTTTAGTTTATGTGTATGAGTGTATTGCCTGTGTGTATGTAAGTGCACCCATGTCGTGCAGTGCCCATGGAGGTCAAAAGAAGGCATTGGATTCCCTAGAACTGGAGTTAAATTAGGTTGTTAGCCATCATGTGGGTGCTGGGAATTGAACCAGGGTCCTCTACAAGAGCAGTCAGTGCTGAGCCATCTCTCCAGCCCTGTTGTTACTTTTTGAGTCTTTGGGTCTTTATAGCTAAAACAGACATAAAAATGACAACAACTCAGACTGACAACTAACACAACCCTCTTGGGATCTGGAGATAGGTAAAGTACTTGCCTAGCATGTAGGAGGCCCTGAGCTCAATCCCCTATACTGAAAACAACAACAACAAAAACCTTGTCATTCAAGTCCTATTTAAAATTGGTGGAACTGATTTGAATAATAAAAATATGATGGTGTGGGTGTGTCTAAAAGTCTAATTACAATATTTTGTTTCTTCCTCTGCCTTGAATTTTTTTTCCCATTGCTACGGATTGAACTCAAGGCCTCTTGTGTGTTAGGTAAGCTCTTGGCCATTGAGCTATGTCCCCAGCACTGATTTCTTGTTATAAGTTTATATGTATTATCTAGGGAGATGAAATGGAACCAATAAAAAGGAAGGTTATAGAAAATATAATTATTAAAACTTGATCTTCTACAGTAACATGAACAATAACAAATTTGTTATTTTATTACAGGAAAGATTATAGTTGTGATGACATTATAATATGCTTACTGCCAAAAATTCATCCAATTATGCACATAAAATTGGCAAATTTTATTTCATTTCAGTTGATACAATAAGATTAAACCCATTAGAGGGATGTCACTTGATTTTTTAAAAAATATTTATTTTTACTTTATGTGTGAGTGTATTGCCTGCATATATGTAAGTGCACCAGTGTCATGCAGTGCCCATGGAGGCCAGAAGAGGGCATTGGATCTCCTGGAACTGGAGTTACAGACTGTTGTTAGCTGCCACGTGGGTGTTGAATTTGAACCCAGGTCCTTTCGTCCTTTCTGAGAGCAGCCAGCGCTCTTAACTGCTGAACCATCTCTCCAGCCCTTGCTTTTTTTTTGTTGTTGTTGTTTGTTTTGTTTTGTTTTAACTGACCTTATTTCCGAAGAAACTGATCACAGTATCAACACTTCCTCTTCTCAGGAAAATAAAGGAAGTCACCAGAGAGAGCTGTTACTCATTTAGAATTATGGGGGAACCTGAACCTAAAAGAACACACTGTTAAAGTAACAGTCTGTATATATCTCTCAGGAATACATTAAATACATGATCTGTAGAAAAGAACATTATCATGTAAACTGTGTGCGAAGAAGATACAGCTTTGGCAAAAATGGGTGAGGATTCTGTCATGGTCACCATCTCAGTAATTATGCTGGCAGTGATGGTATTGAGAAGCACTGGAAGGCTCAAGCTTCTATCTGGATAAACCGTACGATTAGTATAGTTCACTCCTTTCTCAAAGCCTTCCCATTATTTAAAAGTATAGCACAAGAAAAGGAATCTCAGTCTTGCTTGTTCCTAGGAGACTAAGAACAAATTATATGATTTTTTTTTCCTGAATTACTTTCTACAGGAATTTCAGTTTGTTTTTTTTTGTTTGTTTGTTTGTTTGTTTTTCACTTTGAGATTTTTAAAGCTGGCATGGTAACAATACAGCTATAATTCCAGCACTCAGGAGGCTGAGACAGGAGGATTTCAAGCTTGAGGCCAGTTTGGGATATATAATGGCACCCTGTCTCAAAAAATTCAAACCACAAAAGAGGAAATAAAAGGCAAAAAAGAGTAATCCTACAGTTATAGTAAAATACCAATTAAGTTAAATTATAGAAAACTCTCATAGTTGTTGGTGGTAGATGGGTATTAGGGTAATTGTTTTTTTTCTGATTTTCTCTAAATCATTCTAAAATAGTTTTAAAAGTTGGAGTTAGATAAGCTATTGAGTTGAGGCCTAGTAGTAAGTTTCTATAAAATGTAATGCTGTTTTCAAAACATTTCTTCATAGGTGGTTTTGATGATAATTCTCCTCTGAGTTCAGTGGAGCGGTATGACCCTCGAAGCAACAAGTGGGACTATGTGGCACCACTCACCACTCCCAGGGGTGGAGTTGGGATTGCAACGGTGATGGGCAAAATCTTTGCAGTTGGTGGTCATAATGGCAATTCATACCTAAACACAGTAGAATCATTTGATCCAGTGCTGAATAAGTAAGTAGCATGCTTTTCCATGCTTTAATGGAATGTATTACTCTACAGTATCAGAATAGTCCTCCCTTAGCCACTGGGAATCCAGTCCAAGATCATTCTCCCTCAGTGGATGCCTGAAACACAGATAGTATCCAACTATATGTGGACTGTGCTTTCCCCTATACAGACTACTTAAGATAAAGTTTAATTAATTAATTAGGCACAGTAAAAGGTTAACAACAATTAGTAATAAAATAGAAAACTTTTAACAGTATACTGAAATAAAATGCCAGCATCACTGTTCTTTTTTTAAAAAATATGTATTTCATTACTTTTAATTTTATGTGTATGTATGTGTTGTCTGCATGTAGGTAAGTGTACCCATGTTGAGCAATACCTGAGGACAGAAGAGGTTGTTGGATCCCCTAGAACTGGAGTTACAGACAGTTGTTAGCTGCCATGTAGGTGCTGAGATTTGAACCTGGGTCTTCTGCAAGTACAGCCAGTGTTCTTAACCGCTGAGCCATTTCTCCAGCCCCCAGCATCACTGTTCTTACATGTAGCACCATTATCAAGTAAAATAAAGGTTGTCTGAGCAAAGGCACTGTACTACCATTACAGTTGGTCTAATAACTGAAATGGCTTCTAAGTGATGAGTAGATAGCATCTCCAGAAAAGACATACTGACCAGAGACTGCCTGATGTCCTAGGCAAGGCAGAGTGGGTTCATGTAAGATTTTGTCACACCACTCAAAATGGCATGGAGTTTGAAGCATTTGAAATTGCTTATTTCTGGACATTTCCACTTAATTTTTCAGACTGTGGTTTGCCATACATAACTGAGGCTGTGGAAAGCAAAACTGTTGCTTAGCGGGGGATACTCGGCACTGCTAGTTGTAGTCATTAAAATAAAGCGGAATACCTTATCTCCCTCTAGAAACTCGCTGTCTTTCAAAGCCAGTCCCATAATAAGGAGCTTTTGTCTTGATTAGTATTTTTTGAGTAAATTGTGCTTTTAGATAACATTCTTGTTCTCTGTCTTTTCAGATGGGAGCTAGTTGGACCTGTGTCTCACTGCAGAGCTGGAGCAGGTGTAGCTGTATGTGACTGTTTAATTAGCCAAATTCGAGATCTAGGTCATGGATCTACTAATGTGGTTGACTGTATGTGATCTGAGCTCCAACCACCAACAATTGAGTTATATTGGACAGATGGGAAAGACAACAGACATTTTGATAAGACATCATTTGAAATTTACAGCTACCGTTCATTTGAAATTTACAGCTACCGTTCTACTTAAATGTTAACTGTTTTATTGTGACTAAATGCAACTTTTGGAATGATAGCTGAAGGACTGTTAGGAATGAAACTTGATATTTGTTGCATTAGCAAATAATGGTGCAGGGAAGGAAGGCAGTTTAGCTTTGAAACTACACCTGCTCTGAAAAATGTTTAGAGTAGTGCCAAAACCTTGAAATACCTGTTTATTTTGATGACTGAAATAGAATTTATTGAGTTTGTGTCTGTTCTTTGACCTGAAGGTATTAGCTTCAGATACTATATTTTTCCTAGAGGAGAGATTAGAATCTGTCCATCAACATGAGGGCATGTGAACCCTGCTCCTCTGGAGGGTCATTTCTACTTGGTGCTGATGAATTTGTCTTGCTTTATGTTTCTCTAGATGTTGGCTTTCCAATTTCTTGGGTATTTACAGAAGCAGGAAAAATATTTTTGTCTTTCTGAGTGTCACTTAGATGTATTCTTGAAACCATATAGACTTGCTGTAAGAAGTCCTTCCTGCCAGTATCAACAGCTAGAGCTGCACTACTCAGCTGTGCTGATCCCACCAAGCCAAGTCCACTGGTTTGGTTTTTTCTCATCTCATGCAAAACATGACCCTGAGGGCATCCTAGCAGTGGCTTTAGAGTTAACATCATTCTTATACCCAAATGAGAGACTTTGAGACAGAACAGAGGATATGACTCCCTACTGAGAGAGAGCTGAACACACCTTTAGCTTTGATGTACTTGTTTTATTTTAGACCCAGGATCTTTGTCGTCTCTTGTTATTTGTCACTGTCCTGGTTTTTCTAATTGTACAGATCTGGATTTATTTATTATCAGGAAATGAATGCATTTGTACAAAATCCATCAGTGGACTATAGTTTGATGATTAGTTCAAGGTTGTCATTAATCAATAGAACACGTTGTTGGTAAAAAATAGAGAAAAATGAAAACTACTAGTTTTTTCATTGTTTAATATCCTCCAGTGTGTTTATTGAATATTTCTACAAATAAACTTGAAATTCAACATATAGCTAATCCTACTTAAAAAAAAACAGCTATTTTTTTCTTCATGTGTGTTTGTGTGTGGTGTGCTTGTTTGTGGGAACACGTGTGTGGGGTGCATGTGCACATATGTGTGCATTCAGGTGCAGTCCCAAGATTGTTGTCCATCTTACCCACAGAGGCTCAGGATCTCTCAGCTGATCATAGAGCTCTCCTATACAGCTGGTCTGGATAGCCATTTTGTCCCCAGAGACTCCCTGCCTCCTCTTTAGTGCTGGAACTGCAGGCAGGCCACTATACCTGTGTGGCATTTACTTGGGCGCTGGGGATCTGAACTCTCAACCTTATGCTTACAAAGCAAGCACTTTACCCACTAAGCTGTCTCCCCAGCCCCATCTTCATTGTTTTAACATTGTAAAATGCCCTATTCATGATGTGCATATATATTCCATTAATATTTATTAAGAACATCAAAGTATCCATTTCATGTTTTCAGCACTGTCTGATACCTCCCTTGTAGCCTTCCTTAATTTCTCTTTAGTCATACCTTTGAATGTATTTTAGTTCCCTGCTGGTCAGTTATCTGATTCACATGTCAGGTGGGGTAGGGAACAATACTTCTCCCAGTCAACAAGAGTTTCACTGATTCATTAAATGTCATGCTGGACTTGTTAGTACAGTAGGGTAGGATGCCACATTCCAAAAGCCAGTGCCTAGTGGACATAGCAAACCTACAAAAAAAAAGCCTAAGGGCTCAAGTTGGTATCTTCATGAAGCAAATTGAAATGTTCCCAAATTGGGCTTTTTTTTCCTACTGTCAAACTGTTTCATACAGAGAACGATCCCCAATAGCTGTGCTTTTGGTTTTGAAAGAGTGAACTTATTAAGTGCACAGACAGCATGATTAAAGGAATAAAACTGCCAGCCGCAGAAAAGTAGGAGAAAATTGGATCAGATGCACCATCCATTGGATGACTGGGGAAGCCCAGACCCAGTCAACTGGAGTGTCTGACCCGTAAAGAGCAGCCCAAGCAGAATGCCCTCATGTAGCAGGTTGGCCTGCAGTATTTCTCTCCTTACATAAAGGATCTTTATGTTCAACTGAAAATAGTTTTTTAAACCTTTACAAAAGCTAATGGTCAAAGATGGATAAAGCAACTTCACCAATCTGAAACCACCATCAGAATTTTAGGTGTGTGCTAAATGGAAACATTTGCATGAAGGTAAGTATTGTCCTTCAAAGTAAGTTTGCATGACTCTAAAGCCCCTTTTAAAATTTTATTATTTTTATGTGTATGAGTGTGTTGCCTACGTGTAAGTGTACCCATGTTGTGTCATTCCCTGTAGAGGTCAGAAGAGGGCGTTGGATCCCCTGTAATTGGAGTTATGGATGGTTGTTAGCCACCGTGTGGGTACTGGGAATTGAATCCAGGTCCTCTGGAAGAACAGCCAGTGCTCTTAACCACTGAACCATCTGTCCAGCCCCCTCTAGACCCCTTTTAAAAGCAGTTTCCTGAAGTCATCTTGGAATGTAGCCACTTGTAAGTTCCTCAGAAGAATTACTCTCATTGTAATTTTCATCGAAATCTCTACTTCATTATTGACTTGTGTTCTTTCTTCATCAGATAACACTCAAAATATTGTATGCCTGTTTCCATGGGAAAGGTCTACCCACAATGTTTCAAATGTTTTTGAAAACAAATTGTCTTCATGAGAGATGTTTGCCTGCTTGTGTTGTGGGGTGCTTCACCAGAGAAAACCACTCCAAGTTTTGCTGAATGAAAGTCATTGCTGGCCAGGGCTACTGCACAAGGGTGTCAGAATCCAAGTGTGTAGCCCCGAGCCATCTCTAGGGTAAGTTTTATATAGAGAAACCATAACCAGGGGTGAAAAGTTTAAATTCCCAAGCTTACAAGTAGAGAGCTCCCTTAACAATTTCTATTAAGCAACAATTACTATTTTGCAGAAGCAAGCCAAGCATAACCTTAAGAAGCCATAAATCTGCAGTTAGCAGGTGCTCTCCAGAACACACTGACCTGTTCCCAAGACAATTGGGGTCCTGATGACATGTGGTCGAATATCCTGGGCCAATTGCCTGATAATTTCAGAGACTAGAGTCAGCCTAAACTTTAACATGGCGTAGCTATGGTCAAGAAGGTGCCCTATTTACATTTGCTTGCTGTAGCCAGTCTCACTGTGTACCCTGGCTGACCTGGAACTCATTATGTAATGTGGTCTCAAATTCCTGTCAATCCTCCTACCTCAGTTCCATGACTGTGACTGCAGCATGAGCCACTGTGCCAGGCTAGGATCTTCAAAGTTTCCTGAGCAAGAGCATCACAAATGAGAGGACCTGATGAATAACCCCTTGGAGGGATAGTCTTATTTAAATGCAAAAGGTCTGGGTTACTGTATTTTTGTTTTGTTTTCATGTGTCCTAAACCAGCTTACTATTGCAGAGCACAAAAACAGAACATTCACACTGAGTGAAACTGGGCCAGTTGTCTGACAGTTGTGACATTTTCATCATTGTAATACAACAGTGAACTGAGCTTATGGCCCTCTCCTGTCCAGTTCCTCACAGACGCAGCTCAGAGCTTCTCCAGCATCTCCTTTGCAGTTGTATTTCATTTATCACCAAGTTTGGCCCCAACCCACTGGGGAATAGGATGATTTTGTGTCTGTCACACCTCCCTGCCCCCTGCTAGTCTGAAGTGTGGTTTCTCTTTCTCTTACTATTTTAAGACCTGGTTCCTGCTAGTGTGCTAGCTATAACATGATTTTATTGTGACTTTTCTTGCATTTTCCTAAGCTGAGTGTTGTCATGCATTGTCCTTCCGTTTCTTCTGTCAGTTTTCTGTTTTTTTCGTCATATTCAGAATACTCCTCTTTCTGCACTCACACGTTGTTGCTGCGCTATCCTCTCCCGGCTTGTGGCTTTTCACTTTGGTCTTTTGTAAACAAAACTTCTTAATTTGGATGTTTTAAAATGTAAGTCCTTTTCTGCTTTTGTAAATGTGTGTGTTGTATGCGTGTGTGCATGTGTGCGCACAGGTGCCCACATCCATGCATGTGCTAGTGCAGGACAGAGATCAATGTCAGGTGTATTTATCTCCACCTTATTTTCTGATACAAGGTCTCTCACCAGGTCTGGCGCTCACCTGCTTGCTAGCCTGGCTAGCCTGGATCCACCTGTTTCTGCCCCTCACCCCACTGCTAGGGTTTCAGTAAACACTTTGCCCCGAAGCAGTCTCTCCAGCCCTAAATGTAAATCCCCTTTGTACTTAAAAAAAAAAATTCTCTATCCCAGGATCATATTTGTTCAGTCTCTTATAAAGATTAAAAAATGGGGCCAGTAAGGGGCTCATGGGTGAAGGTGCTTTCCACACAAACCTGGTGACCTGAGTTTGAGCCTCCAAACCCAGGTAAAGGTGGAGGAGAGAACCGACTTCATAAAGTTGTCTTCTAACCTCCAGAGGTGCACCATGGCACTGCACACCCTCAGAGATCAGGTGCACACATAATAATAAAAAATTTAAACATGAATTTTGTAAAGGATAAGGCTGCTGTGTAGTTCAGTGGTAAGTTGCTTACCTAGCATACATAAGGCTTTTGATTGGTTTGATTCCTAGAATTTTTTAAAAAAAAAGTGTCTCATAAGTCTTTATTCTACCTGGAATTGGTTTGTGTATGTGTGAGATAAAATTGTTATTTATTACTATGTAAACAACCAGTTTTTCCCATTGCAGACTGACTAATCTGTTCCTCAGATACCTTGACTACATGGTAATTTCCATGTAAATGTCTATTTGTGACTTGGTCACAAATTCCATTGGTCATTTTGCCTACCCAAAAGGTAAATGGCCCAGTATTTCAGTTGATAGATTTTGTTTTGAAGATTGATCCTCTCTCTTTCCTCCTTTCCTTCCTTCTCTAGAATCCCATTTAATTTATAGATTAACTAGGAAGCAATTGTTGAATTGGCAGTTCCACAATACTGAATCTTTTTGGTTTGCTAATTAAAACTGTTTATAAAGATTTTTATTTTATGTATATGAGTGTTTTACCTGCATGTAAGTACACCACATGCCTGCCTGGTGCCTGTGGAGGCCAGAAGAGGGCATTTATAGCATATCAGTGTGCTGACTGGTATCTAACATTTTTAGATATTAACTCTTTTAATGTGTAGTCGTTTTACCTACATGTAGGTGCAATGTGCAGTGCATACATGTGTAATGTCCATGGAAGCTGTTAGGGTCCATGACTCAGTGGGACTCTTCAGGAGAATAAATGCACAAGTATGGAGATGCAAAAATCAAGCAGAGTTTTATTAGGTCAGCTAGCTGGGGCCGACTGTCCTTCCAAGACTCACAGGTCTGGTTGGAGCGATCGACCCCGAGGCAATTTCAGGTAAAGATTATATAGGCTCCCACAACCGTTACACAAAAGCCCGCGCTTATACAACCAATAGTTTCAAAGCAAGCATTTCACAAACCAAAAACTTCAAAACAAGAAAAATGTCACAACTTCCTTCAGGTGTCTCAATCAGGGAAGGGTGAGTGGTATGTACCTGGCGCAACCCTTTCCTGTTATCTTGGGTAAGTGGACATGCCTACATGACACAACACAGATCAAACAGGCTAGGCTCTGGGGGGTGCAGCACTTGCCCCTATCTGGGGATGCCTGTGTCTCCACTTGGGTTAATCAGTTACAAGCAGTAAATTCAAAAAAGTAAATTCAAGCAGTAAATTCAGACAAGCAATAAATTCCTCTTTCC